CAGCCTCATGGACTGACCACCTACTGATGTTTAGAATTTCTGTTAGTTATCAGCCATTGCTGGACTGGCTGGAGCACAGCCTGTAAGCCAGTCGAATAAATCCCTTTTAGAGAGAGGCCACAGAGGAGATGAATATGTATTCATTCTATTAAATTCTGTTCTTCTAGAGAACCTGAATACATGAAGTTATTCTAACCTAGTCAAGCTGACAATGAAGGGCTATCCTAGTCTCTTTTCTACTTTCCTGACACCATCCCCATACACACTGATGCACTTTTAATCTGAATCTAGATTCTGCACGAGAGGTGGGGTTTGCTGAGTCTGCACTCAATCACGTTCTTGCTCTGAATGATTCTGTCCAGTTCCATCCATTTTCTGCAAGTGTTAGAGTTGACTCATCTGTTGATGGATGTCAAGGCTGGATTTCTTTCCTGGCTGTTGTTCTCAGTGTGGCAGGGAGCATGAGTGTGCAGATGAATGTCCCAGTGGGGTGGCCAGGAGTGCTGTGGTGGTTCTGGTTTTAGTTGTTTTATGTATATGTATGAGTGCTTGCATGTATGCCTGTACATCATATGTGCGCCTGGTGCCTGCAGAGGTCAGAAGAGATAGTTGGATTCCCTAGAAGTCCGTTACTCTTTCTTTTTGTTGTTTTTGCTTATTTGTTTTATCCAGATAGGGTTTTTCTATGTAGCCCTGGCTATCCTGGAATTCTGTAGACCAGGTTAGGCAGACCACTGGATTAAAAGCATATGCCACCATGCCCCACTTCATTCATTCCTTTGTTGTTGTTGTTTTTGAGACAGGGTTTCTCTGTGTAGCCCTGGCTGTCCTGGAACTCACTCTGTAGACCAGGCTGGCCTCGAACTCAGGAATCTGCCTGTCTCTGCCTCCCAAGTGCTGGGATTAAAGGCATGCGCCATCACCGCCCGGCTAATTTATTCCTTTCCTTTGCCATGTAGCCACCGTGCACAGATGCAGCAGGTAGTTTGGCTGTTCATCCCCTCAAGTGATGCTTTTAGGTCGTTTCTCATTTGGGATGGTGATAAATGAGGCTTCTACACCTCTCACGCTCACAGAGCTGCTGCGGTGGTGCTGGGATGAAAGCCACTGATTCACATCCAGATCCAGAAAGAAGAGGAAGTGAGGGCCAAGGAGGAAATGTGACTGTTCCTTAGTCTCAGCAGCAGTCACTGATTTAGGAGATAAACCCACACCTAGATTTGAACTCTGAGCTCCAGAGAACTAGAACCAAAGGTCAGACACAGCCACTTACCAAGTACTCTGTCTCCAGGTTCACTGGCTTGCCTTCTGTATCCACAGGTCTGACACCTGGCGCCTGGTGAACCCACCAGCACGGCCCCACCTTGAAAACTCACTCAGGGGCTCCTCTGCAGTCCACAGTGGGCACAAGGTGACAGCTATGGCGACCAGGATCACAGCCCGTGTGGAAGGTGGCTACCACAGCAACCGCAGCATCTTCTGTACCATCCTGTAAGCAAGGCCTGCCTCAGGCCCAGACCCTGGTGGGTACTCAGAAGGCTGACTCTTGAGATGGAAGTTAAGCCTGGGAAGACTCCTAAACCCATCCCTATCTTACACTCCTGAAAATGGGCCCTAGGCCTCCTGGGGACTAAGAACCATGTTCCTCTAGAACCCTTTAGCTCCACAACCCTCTGCAGGAAGGACCTTGGAAACATTTCCCAGGAGTAAGGGAATAGCAGTTGGAGTGTGTCCAGTCACTGGGGCACCTAGAGATTGTGAAGAGCTGCAGAAGCTCAGACAGCACATGCAGCTTTTAGGTCAATGCTTCAAGCTACAGAGAACCTCACTTTATACAGACCAGACTTAGACTCTTCTCAGGGAAGAGAACACTTACTTCTGATCAAAGGAAGTAGCTGTGGTGAGGTGGAGACAGCTGCCCCTTTGCTGGACCGTGACGCTCCTGGGCCTGTACCAGCTTCCCAGCTGCCTCTGGGAGCTGTAGTGTTTTTATTAAAGACAGTTCTCCTCTAGTGGGCCCTGTTAGCAAGGAAGGGGCTTGGAACAAAGGAGTTCTTCCTGAAAAGCTGCCCCAGGAATGACAAGGGGACATGCTATAAATAAGAGGGGCAGGTGGCTGCCCCAGGTGTGAGGCATGTGCTGGGCTAGGCCCCGTGAGCAAAGTTCCACTGTCCTTAAGGGGTCCTCCAAGTTCAGAGCACTAGCTTAGCACCTGTCACAGGATTCTGAACGTGTGAACACATACACTCCAGCTGCCCCTACAGAGTCCAGCCTGTTTAGACGGAGCCCCCACCCCACCCGACGTGTCCATGTCCTCATGGATGATCAGCTGCCTTGACCAGCCCTACCGTACCCCCCACTCTGTGCCTTGGCTTGAGCTTGTCTTTCTCCCTGGCATGCCCTTCCTGGCCATCTCCATCTGTGCAGATGTCACCCTTCACTGCGGGGTTAGCTCAGACACTGCCGTCCCCACGTGACTCTCCCCGTGCTCCAGGTGATCGTGTTGCGCACCGCCCTCAGCCTTGCCTACCCTCCTGCTCCCTCAGGACACTGAGCACTTTCTGCCTTGCTTTGGAACCCTGGGTCCATACCCTGTCCTGCCCATTTACCTGTGAACTCTCTGAAAGTAGAGCCACCTGTCTGTGTCCTTTTGTCCCAGTCCAGAGTTGAGTTAGTGTCTGAAGTGATAAGAGGGCCAGCTCCAAAGATCGTCACTAGACTGTACTGTGTGTGACAAGCTTGAGAGCCAGTGGGCTTGGACCCACCCCGCTGAGGAAGGGTCTGCATGCAGGACCAGCTCTGCCTGGATGGTCCCTTTCCCACTTGGCCTTTACTGCAGGGTCCTCACTAGCCTTTGGGGTCACTGTCCTACACTGGGCCATATCCCGTGCTGTTCTGTGGAGCCCTAGGTGCTGCTCTGGTGGGTGAGTGCGAGGGGGAGCTCTGACTTCTCCCTAAGCACTCTGGGAAAAAGAACACTGGCCTTTCCCGTCTGTAGCACTGTTCACTGCACTTGTTTGGTGGCCCCAATGTGAGTCGCTGTATAAAATGCTGCCTTTGTTATTTTGTAAGAAATGACTTTTCTGTGAACCAAGTACTTAACAAAAATCTCAGTAACCAAAATAAAGTTCTATATTTTAAAGGAGTTGCTTGCGGGGTCTTAACTTGGTCTACACATTTGCTGGAGGTTCAAGTGACCAGTAGGCCTCCCCACAGGTGCCACCGCCCCCACCGTGAGACTGCAAATCACAGGACCCTCCTCAGCTTGCTCCTACCACAGCTCAGAATGCAAAGCTGAAGGGCTCCATCTCATTCAAAAGCTGTAACTCTAGTCCTGCCGAGGGGCCTTTCTGAAGACTGTGGCACTGTCTTCATTGGGATCATGTGGTGACCAAAGGGTCTTCAGATACAAGAACACGCCTTCCTGGACTTGGGCTGCTCGCTCAGCATCTTAGTTTTTGCTGTGCCCACCCCAGGCTTAGTACTACTTTAGATTTCTTACATTCATTTTGTGTCTGTGCATGTGAACATGTGGAGGTCCGAGGACAGCCTCTGGGGAAGTTGGCTCTCCTCCCATGTGCGTTCCAGGGACTGAACTCAAGTGGTCAGGCTTGGTGGCAAGGGCCTTTACTGAACACTGAGCCATCTCCTGGCCGTAATATTAAATATTTCTGTCAGTACTCTTAGTCTTGATTTTTTTTTTTTCCGTAGAAAATAGCTTGCTTGGTTCAACCTTCAGCAGTGCACCCCTAAGCTAAGGTAAAGCTGCCTTTTAAACTCCCTTTCAGGGGACAAGGGACTTTCAGGGACAGTTTCCTCTTGCTATCTTTGAGGGCTTCTTGCTGCTTTTTCAAGTGATCATGTTTAGTTGAAGCCGGCCTTGAACTTGTCTCTCCTTCCTCTCCCTACCTACCAAATGCTGGGATTGCAGGTATGTGCCACCATCCAGCTCAGACCACATCCTGTTGCCATGAGCAGCTTTATGTATCTCGTCATAGTGTGGCGCTGTTTCCTAGAGAACTGATTTCCTCTGTGGAGAGGCCAGAGTATCAGGTGTCTTCTAGTACTCTGCCATTTTCCTTTGAGACAAGGTTTTTCCCGGAGCCTAGTGCTGGGCTGGCAGCCAGGAAGCCTGGATGGTTTTCCTGCCTCTGCTTCCCAGTGTTGGGAATATGGGTGCTTCTCCAACCCCGAAAGAAAGCACAGTTTTTGTTGTTGTTGAGCCTGTTGATGTGGGTGCACACTGCCACAGCTCGCTAATGAAGAAGGGACTACTCGTAGGAGTCAGTTCTCCCCTTTCACCTTGTAGACCCATGAGAGGCTTCTGTCAACTTCTGTCTTAAACTCCCCTGCAGAACCACGGCCACAGGATCATTTGGTACTGTTAAAAGCCTCGAACCTCTATTTGCAGCTCCCCTTCCAGACCCCAGAAACTTTATTACCAGCAGAGTGTCTGTCGAGGCCTGAATCTAAAACCAAGCGAGGCGCCAAGCTGACAGTTCATGCTTTCCACATGTGCTTACCCCCAGTCCCCACTCACTTGGCCAACATGCCTAAGCAAGGTCTAAACAAGGAAGAAAGGCTTATCACTTCCTGACTTGGCTATGCCATATCATAGTAGGCTATTAAATTAGATTGCGCTGCCAACCCAATAGAGCTGCAACCTCCTCCTCTCCCGACTAGGTCTTCCAGGCCATCTTTGTTGTTGTTTGGAGACAGGGCTTCTCTGTAGCCCCGACTGTTCCGGAATTCGGTCTGTAGACCAGGCTGGCCTCCATCTCGGCTCCACCTGCCTCTGCCTCCTGAATGCTGGGATAAAAGGTGTATGCCAACACTGCCTGGGTTCCAGGTCCTCTTTATAAACTTCTGGCTCAAAGTTTTCAGCCTGGTAAGACCTTTTGACTTTAACTTCCCCAGACCTTCCCAAACCCTGCACGAGACCCCAAAGGAGAAACATCTAACACTTCTAGCCACAGCAACATGAAAGGAGGGAGAGGAAGTCAACCTGGGCCATCACTTTAATTTCTGCATAAGAGATGATGCATAACAGGAATCCTGGCTTCTGGCATGATAACCGTGCTAAAGTTAGGCCTCGGGGGTGTGGTAGAGCATGGTGGAATCCCAGACAGGCTCAGAATTCACAATCCTCCTGCCTCAGTCTCCTGTGTACTTGGGTTATAGGTATGTACCACAAGGTCCAGTCCACTTTCTTAAAAAAAAAGGAAGTGAACAGAAGTGGCTGTGGAAAACATCTAGTTAATTTTCTTCCGTTTTGCCTGTCGGTCTGAGGTCTGGGCCGGAGGCAGTGGGACAGACAGAGTACCCAGTCTGTGATCCTCTTCCCTGCCGTCTGCCAGGGACACCTTTCTTTTGGAGATCTTCAGCCTCATGGCTTTCGCTATCTCAATCATCCTAAGGAAGGAACAGAACAAATGGAGAGAGCCCTGTGTGCCACTCAGGTCTGCAGAGTAGAGCACGCTGTTCCAAGCCATGAAGTGGGGTGCTCTGTGTCCACCCTAGATCCACGGGGAGTCCTGCCCTAGTCACAGTGATTCACACCCCACAGAGTTATTGTGAACAGAAAGCTGTAGGAGACTCAGGCCTAAAGCCCAGTCGCCCTTTTTGGGTCTTGAGAAGGTCATTACTTGTCCAGATCTTTGATTCTTCAGTTATCTAGGAAATTAGTGAGGGACACGGAATGAATTCAATACCATGCCTTTCAAAGAGAAGGCACTCACAGTGTCATCATTCATTCATTCATTCATTCATTCATTCATTCATTCATTGAGTACTGTCTTTTGGCCCCAAGATTTTCCCTTAACTACCTTCAGCAGGGCAGGGCGTCATGCTCTGGGCAGGAGTACGGATCCGCCCAGGCTGCTGCAGGGAGCACTGTGCTCTACTGAGCTCACCTTTTCTCACTCAGCTTCAAGTCCCTCTGCAACACTGTCAGGTCGATCTGGAAGTTACTGATGTGCAGGGCAAGTATGATTGCATACGCAGTGATCTTGGCCTTCATAGAACTCGAAATTAAGTTCCGTAAACTGCAGAGTCAGTGGAAGTGAAGGAGAAAGGAAGTTAAATTCCATATGCAAAATAAGGACAATGGAGCCTTTCTCTCTGGTTAGTGTTCCTGGTTTAGGGGTGGGGGCCAAGGCATACAGCCTGTTCCTTCCAAGGTGCCCAAAGTCCCACAGTGAACCGTGAGCCAAGCCATGTTTCCCCTAAGAGACAGCCCTGCCCATGTTTCCCCTCGCAGTGTGGTAGCACTGCTCTCCTGAGCCTGTCACTGTCCGCTCAGCAGGCCTGTAGGAAAACCTCCACCCAAACTCAGTGCTGCCCCTGCTGCTTCCAAGCACAGGCAGGAGCAGGAAGCACAGTCCAGTCCAATGGCTTCAGACAAGGCCGGGACGCTGCAGGAAGTTCTGTCTCCTAAGTCCCCACACTTGCTGCCCTTTTCTGCAGCCAATCAGGGTGCACCTCACTGCAGGGGTCACAGCCAGAGACAAAAATGAACACTTCCAAGGGGGACAGTGTATGTGATATATATGTGTCCCCAGAAGCCCACCAGCAGCAGTGAGCTTTTGGGCACTGGATCTCTGTGGACGTGAGCACCCACCCTTCACTGCCACCTCCCAACTGCTTTCTTCTTCATACAAGTGGCCCCTGACCTGCCATTGTTGTAAGTCAGGCAGGTGAACTGCTTCAGCAGCTTGGTGTTGATGATGTGTGGGATTCCAGGTCCTAAGGCACCTAGGACAAAGTTGCATTGGATCACGGTACATGTGTGTACAGGCCACACATCCATTAGAGGGAGGTTGGGGGGTGGGGAGTGTTGTAATGGCCAGAACCAAATGGTGACAGGAACAGGGGCCCAAGATCCAAAGCAGCCACTCTGAGGTCAGACACACAAGAGGTGTTTGTGAAGGGCGTGTTAGAAGACAGAGCAACATACTGACGAAGACTACGAGCACAATATGATACTGGATAATAAAGCAGACTGCAGTCTGAACCGGTGAGATGACGGGTGGAGGGAGATGTGTGCCACCAAGTTCCAGGAGTCACACAGCAGAGAGGACAGATTCCCCAGTTGTGCTCTGACCACAGAGACACTAGGTAGGCAACCCCAACAGCTACCCACAAATAAATCAGAGCATGCAGGGTAGAAGGTACGAGGCACACAAATATGAAACCTGGAATTGAGCAGGTAGGCACACAGAAACAGTAGACAGACACACCTCTGCTGAAAACCCCAGGCGTCTCCTGCTGGGTCTCTAACTCTGGGTGGGTGTGAGTGTGTGACCACCACGTGTGCCCTGGAAACTGGTGTAACTGGATTTTTTTTTTCCCCAAGCCCGGGTTTCTCTGTGTGGGCTTTTCTGGAACTCACCCTGTAGACTAGGCTGGTCTCAGACTCAGGGATCTGCTTGTCTCTACTTCCCAAGTGATCAGATTAAAGGCCTGTGCCACCACCACATGGAGGAACTGGAATTTCTAACATTACAAACTGACTTCCTCAGTCTGAAATAAAGTGTTATAACACTACCAGGAAGGAAGAAAGAAAAAAGCAAGAAAGCAGGAAAGAAAGAGAATGCTATGAGTTCAAGGCCAGCCTGGTCTGTACAGTGAGTTCCAGTCCAGCCAAGAATATACAGTGAGACTGTTGTACAAAACAAATGCAGCCTGTCCAAGCTCGAGCAACGGAGCTCTGACTGCTGCTGTTTGTTCTAACCTGCTCCCTTAAATTACTTATTCCGTTTGACCTGAACACAGAGTTGTTCCTAAGAAAACAAAAGCCGTGAATGTGCTCCCTAGAAGCCCCATCCACCCTGTCCCCATTTCCAGAACAGAAGAAAGATATTCAAAGAGAAGCGAGCCCTGTGGGGCTCAGACAGGTAGTGGGAGCAGGAGGAAGGGCAGGCTGCACAGACATCCGTGGAGGTGATGTGAGAACTGCAGATGAGTCAGCAGCTGGAAATAGCTGGGAGAAGAAAATGCCTGTGGGCCTTACTTTTCCCCTTTATCACTTTCTGAGCTCGGAATCTGATGAGGGCGTCTAGGAACCAGATGCTCCGGGCTTGCCGGTTCCGTTGCTCCTCATCCGCTGGCAGAGACTTCAGCATTTCTATGACGAAGGAGCAGTGGCTAAAGCAAGGAAGGGACACAGTGACACATGAGGGAAAACAGGCCGTCAGGAGCCACACCCCTCCCCAGCACTGTCCATACATCCAGAACAGGACTGCCAGGGAGACCCACCCTATTAGGGTGCACAGGGTTTGATTGACAGACTCCACTGCAATGAATAAAGTAGAAAAGCAATAGTGGAGGATTCCTAAAAATCAACCTCAGGCCTCCACGTACACCCCCACACAAACATGTACACACGTACACAAATACATATGCATACATACACACTCAGACACACACAATCAAAAAAAATTTTTTTTAAAGAGTAGGGCTGGAGAGATGGCTCAGCAGAGTATTGCTGCTCTTGCAAAGGACCCTAGTTTGTTTCCTAGCAACCACTTGGGCCACTCACAGCTGCCTGTTCTACAGATCTAGAGGATCCAATGACATCTTCTATTGGCCCCACACCCACATCATATGCACACATACACACATACAAAATCTTAGAAAGGAGTAATTAGAAGAAAAAGCTCAGAACTAAGAAATAATCTGACCATCATTTTAAAAAAGGAAAAATTGTTTTAATGGCCAAAGAAAGACAGATAATCTCTCTGTTATTTAAAAAAATATATACAATATTTAGAATGCACATATTTAATTTTTAGTTGAGTTTGTCAGCACGCTGTCACAGAGAGGCTTTGCTTTGGGTAATACCCAGGCCCATGCCAGCCTTTGGGCACTGACAGTGACAATCAGCATCAAACAGTGGGAGCTGGGGCTAGCTTTGATCCCAGGCCCCAGACTACAGCACCTTACCACTGCCTCCCAAATACGGGATCTACACATAACCACTCCTCTTCCTTCAATCTTCCCACAGCTCCTGAAAGCCTAGCATCAAAGCTTGCTCCTTCATTCCAAGGCTGAGCCGACACCACCCATGCCACTTCAAGGGGCTGCTTTCTGCGTGGTATCAGCAGCCTTGCTTTATATCTGACTGTTTTTTCCCATCATGACTCACTGAAACCCCATCTGCCCATGAGTACCTGCTCTCTTCGATCATCTTCAGTATGTCTTCGGACGTGACCTTTCTGAAGGCTTCTGATGGGCTCTCAAGAGCGTCATACTCAGCCGGGGACAGAACTGGTTGCCGGTCAAGAACATGACTGACCAAAATGGAAACCCATGGGGCTAAGTCATCCCTCAGGGCCTCATCTCCCAGGTAGGAAAGTAAAGGCTCACAGAGAAGAAGGGACTCAGAGGAAGCAGGGACCTCAGAGGAAGAGTCTCAAACCCCAGCTTACGGGTCTCTTCCTACCCAGACCACTCCCCTTCTCTTCCTTATGAGCCTCTGTCAACATTTCCCGATAAACCAGATGCTGAGCAGTGAAGTTCTAGGTTCCAACCCCTCCTTCAGTATGTCTGCTTTAGACTTAAATACCAGCCATCTGTTTGTGGAGAATGACCCTCACAGGACTAAGCTGTGTCCCTTTGTCCTGTGGGCCCCCTCAGTGCTGAGGAAACCTAACTGACAAACCTCTTGCCTACAGCTCTGAGACATGGGAAAAAGTTTGGATGTCACATTTATTAATGTCACAGAACGATGATCACCCTTCCACAGCCTGGCTCTGCCAATGGGTACAAACACCACAGCCTGCACATTAGACCCCTGTCCATCAGCAAGGATACTGTCTTCAAATCTATACACGTCTTCGGGCTTGGTTGCATCAGTGTAGCAGGGAGGGAGGTAGAGGGAGTCGTCTTGCAAGTCATCCTGCATGGCGTCACTGACCAGAGCTTTCGATGAAGGAAAAGCATTGTTAGTGTCGGCCTGTCTGGTTTCAGGCTCCCAACACTCCACCATGCAGTGGAGACCACATGTTCCGAAACTCGAATCTGAATACCTGCCAAGATCTGAACTGCTCATTAGGCTGATGTGTTTGCCCTCAATTAACTCAGAACAGAGTCAAAGAGATGTGTGCTTGTAAGTAATTACTGCACAGCATCAGAGAACCCTGACCAAGAGCTGGGCTTGTAATCGCCCTTCCCATGCCTGTCTCCTCTCCTTGACTGAGGACAGGATGGTGTCACATGTCTCTCCTGCTTCCAGAGTCACTCCTGAGAAGGCCACCAGCAAGCAGCAGGAAGGAATCCAGCCTTAAGGCCCACCGTTTGCATCTGTGACCGCTCTCAAGTCTTTGCAGGCACAGTCCTCACCGCGAGCTCCAGCCGCTTACCATCCACACCCTTTGTATCGATGATACTCTCTGCGGCTTTAGCTACTGTGAGATTCAGAGATTCGACGCCAACTTTGTTCATTCTCCTGGAGTTCAGGGACCGCTTCTGCTTGGTGCTTCCAAAGGCTTCAATGCAAGAATCCAACTGTGTAGTAAACAAACCCAATTACTAAAGGGTCGGCTGGGCAGCATGGCTGTTCCCAACTGTGTAAGCACAAGCACGCTCTGGGCTGCCTGAGCCAGGATACCTCAACTGCCAATCAGGCTGTCCTTTCTCATGCTGGTCCACCTCAGACAGTCCCACAGCAGCCCTGAGGTTTGCTGTACTGCCTACCATTTACAAACCAATAGTTTCCCATCACTACAAGGTGAGGACTTTACTAGAATCACGGTTGGTAAATCTGTGGCGCATGGTGTAGCCATCTCCCATTTCCTGCCAGTAACAGACACTGTTAATAAACCACTGGCTTTCCCAAGCCATACAGTAGTGTGTTCTCTTTTCAGTGGTCCACGCAGCATTGCAAAGTCAATATAGCACCCTGCGGTGACACGGCTTCTCTAAGAATCCTCTAGAGTGAGAAACTCAAAGAACTGACTTTGTTTATGGGAGTTTCCAGGCACAACCACTTTCTACATTGTGAACCAAAACTTTGGAAGTTTTCTACCCATCAGCCCAGAGAACAGGGTGCAAATGCTGACATTAGCTCTGCTCGCCTGGCTAAGACAGCAGCTGGGGGACCAGGGGGGGGGGGGGGAGCTGGAAGGCCTCTGCAGGTAGCAGCCCTGCAGAGAACCACAGACCAACCGAGCTGGAGCAGTCAGTGAGGGCCAAGTTCAAAGGGACTGCTACACAGATGGGAAACCAGGACCGGAAGGAGCCTCCTCAACTGTCACTCACCTTGTCCCTGAAAGACTTGTTCTGATTCTCCAGAGGAGGCTCATGCTCAATAGCATCTTCTACAGAAACACAGAACAGAAAGAGAGCGCAGTGTGAGGCTCACAAGCATGCATTCGACAGGGTTTTAAATGAGGTCTTACTATGCTGCCCATGCTGGTCTTATGCTTGTGAGTTCAGCTGATGCCCTGGTCTCAACCCCCACAAGCAGGGGCACTGCAGGCACCAGCCACTGTGCTCAGCTCTGCGAGCACACCTTGAAAGTGCTTAGTGCTAATTTAACATCAAAGAAAAGCAGGTTTCCTTATTCCGAGACTCCCCTAATATGAATGTGCACTGTGAATACTGAATGTCCACCTCAGTAAACAAGTAGGAGAATGGGAAACGGGTGTCCTCCGCTCCAGCCTCTTAATTGATAATCAAGGAGACATGAAGCCTGCCGACACAGTGACCGGCCCTGTCACTTTTCCAGGCAGGCCAGAGAGGATCAGAAACCAAGCCCTTGGCTCTTCCCATAAGTAGATTTGCTTTGCTGGTCAAAGACCTAAAGGCAGGCATAGACGCAAAGCAGATCTTCACATGATACTTTCCAGCCTTCTACAAAGGACTCAAGTAGAGGCAGTATCATCCAGCAAGACTGCAATGAAGTGGCCTCGTGGAAGTTGGCTCAGCAGCAGGTCAGCTGCCTCAGCCAAGCTCCGACAGTGGTTTAGAAAAATAAAAAAGGGTTAATAGTGGTGCTGGAGAGATGGCTCAGTGGTTAAGAGCACTGACTGCTCTTCCAGAGGTCTTGAGTTCAATTCCCAGCAACCACATGGTGGCTCACAACCATCTGTAATGGGATCTGATGCCCTCTTCTGGTGTGTCTGAAGAGAGCAATGGTGTACTCATATACATAAAATAAATAAATCTTTTTTTTTTTTAAAGGGTTAACAGTAAGTATGAAATAATCATGTGGTACTTAGGAAAGGTGTTCAGAACAGTGACAAGCACACAAGGACCCAAAATTAAAGTTGTGTGTGTGCTAGCCAGAACAAGCCAGTACTTATAAACTATTTACACATAACACAAACATATCTCATCAAAAGATTAAACAGTCTAAAGGCTGAGCAGTTAAGATAAGAGCACTTGGTACTCTTGCAAGAGGACCCAAGCTCGGTTCCCAGCATCCACACGGTGGCTAACAACCAGAAAAACTTCACTTCCAGGGGCTCCAATGCCCTCCTCTGCCCCGGCAAGCACTGCATGCGTGTGGTGCACAGACACACGTGCAGATAATAGACCCATACACATAAAATAAATAAACCTTAAAAAAAAAAAAAGACTTTAAACACTTTCACCTTGGTGGTTGGCAGAGGGCCAGCAGATAAAAATGTCTGCCACCAAGTTTGATGGCCTGAGATCCTCTTCCTGAATCCACATGTTGGAAGGAGAGAATCACCTTGCTTGAATTGGCCTGTAACCTCCACATATGCACTCTGGCATGTATACATACATAAAATAATGAAGAAGTGTAATAAAAAATTTAAATTTCCACCGGAATTTACAATGTCTACAGAATGGTTGTGTGTGTGGCTAGCTTGCTGTGCAAACACAGAGAATGTGTGTGAATCCCCAGACCCACGGGGAGCTGGGCATGGTGGCACAGGAAGCTGGGCATGGCGGCACACATGTGGGATCCAGACCCGCGGGGAGCTGGGCACGGCTGCTGCACACACGTGGGATCCAAGTGACTCCCGCAGTGAGATGGGAAGCGACAGGTCAGCTAGGGCTGACAGTGGAGGTTCCGCTCTGACCCCGTGTGTGTGCTGGGATGCATGCACACCTGCACTCACACACATGAAGATTTAAGAGGAACCTGTGTAGGGGAAGAATGTACTGAGACCTGTCCCGTAACACTCTGTACTGACGCCTGAAATGACACCTCTCCCTTAACTTTCTGTACCGATGCCTGACTACTCATCTTGCTTTAAAGGCTGGCTTCTGATCCCACATCTGTAATTGCTGAAGAGACAGACTCTTACTTGGCATCACAATCCTTAGCCTAGAACTTGAAGCACAGTGGGGAATCAATAAATGATTCATTTAAAAAATATACCTTGTACTGGATGGTTTTGTGTGTCAAGAACACAGAGAAAGGAGCCTCCCTTGAGGAAATGCCTCCATGAGATCCAGCTCTAAGGCATTTTCTCAGTTAGTGATCAAGGAGGGAGGACCCAGCCCATTGTGGGTGGTGTCATCCCTGGGCTGGTGGTCCTGGGTTCTATAAGAAAGCAAGCTGAGCAAGCCAGGGGAAGCAAACCAGTAAACAGCATTCCTCCATGGCCTCTGCATCAGCTCCTGCTTCCTGATCAGCTTGAGTTCCTGTCCTGACTTCCTTTGGTGATGAACAGCAGTGTGGAAGTGTAAGCTGAATAAACCCTTTCCTCCCCAACTTGCTTCTTGGTCATGATGTTTTGTGCAGGAATAGAAACCCTGACTAAGACATACCTCTAACTTTTCTAATTAAAAAAAAAAAAAAAGAAATTAAAAACACCTGGCAAGGAGGCTTCCTATTATGGCTGAGGATAATCTGTGTTTGCCAGGTACACAGGAAATTCTGAGTCCACACCCCTTACCATATAAGCCTGCATGGTGGCACACACCTGTGACATCAGCACTCACGAAAAGGCAGAGGCAGGACTGTCCTCAGCTACCCAGCAGATTCAAGGGCAACTTGGACTACATGAGACCTTATCTTCAAAAACTACAAATGCATTTTAGAAAACAAAAAATGAACTCATCCGACAAATTCCAACTGTGCAGCCTTTAACTGAACTGTTCTCCGGAACCTACCAGCAAACAGTGGCTGCATGTTGAACAGCTCAGCATCATAGACTTCCATCTGGCCAGAGGTCTTGTTCAGAATTCCCACAAAGTGCCTGTGCCAAAAAGGAATATCACCATAACAGGTTATTCCAAAGGTAGTATTTACACAATTCCCTTTCCCATGCACAAGGTCCCAGCGACTTTCTGTTAGAGGAAGGCATGTAACAGTGCTCACATGTAACAGTGATCCCTGCATGGGGAGGGGACAGCAGGTGAAGAGAAGGAGGGGACAGAAGATGGCTGTGGACTGAAAAGGCCACCAGCTAGTTCTTTTTACCAATCACATTTAGAGCCACTGCTGCTAACTGAAATCTTTCTAAGGTATTAAGAATCCAGAATTAAACTAGAAGTTTGGCATGCATAAACTTTATGGAGACAGACAGAAGCAAACCCTCGTTCCTCCTGGGGAGAGGAATGAGAAGTAGGGCATCTTTGTAAGCCTTGATGAGCAGGGTTAGGAGTTAGAACGTGTATGCTAATCTGCTCTGGGCGGAGGCCCAGCAGGACTCTGAAAGGCTGAGTGAACAGTGGTTCACTGTTGTGTCTTGAGACCCCCAGCCACACTGTGTCAGCCCTGTGAATCAGACTCTTCAGTCTGGACATGCTTTTATATGGAAGACACCAGTGGTGAGTGCAGGGCAAAGCTGCCAAGGTCGTTCACTTCACCAATGACATTGCTGTGACCCGGAGCCTTGAAGATCCCAAATCCTCTTGTCCCCAGGCAAATTTTAACCTATGGATCACACATTCTAAATTAGCAGACACAGCTGTCTTTTAGTCACAAATAATGCCATAAATAAATGAGGTTTTTAGGAATTTAACAGATGCAAGTCATCTTTTACTGTCCAGGGTTTCTACACCTGGTGTAAGGACCTTGTGAGTCTGGAAATGCAGGGTCCTGGTAAACCTTTGGACCCCTCCAACTACCTCCAAAACAGACACTGAAGATAGTGGTGGTGTGGTCACCACAACCTCCTCTTACCTCTGTCACTGCCTGGTTGCCCATTACCTGCAAAGAGTGTTGCATTTGAGGGCGCCAGTCCCAAAATTGTTTCCAACATAGGAGAGCCTGTCTGTTTCAGCTGCCTGTAAAACAGGGAGGACACCATGAACAATCAGCACCGAGGGGCACTGAGCATGCGCAGAAGCCTTAGACTCAAATGTACCAGCCCTTGATATCCAAGTGATCCGGCCCCGTCACATCCACATCACATCTAGGATGTCTCTGGGGGAAAGGCAAGAAGACTTTCGGAAGGGAACCCCAAATACCATAAGGAAGCTTCAAAGTGATTGGTAAAGTTCTTGGGGGGGGGGGGGGCCGGGAGCAGCACATGAGATTTCATGAAATTAAAAAGCTTCTGCACAGCAAAACAAACACTACCTAAAGTAAAGAGACAGCCCACAGAATGGGATAAATCTGCCAAGTATCAATAGTATTAATCAAACAAGGGATGGATATCTAGGATATACAAAGAACTGTAAAAATTAAATATTCAAAAAAATTCTCAAATAATCTACTCAATAAGTGGGCTATGATCAGAATAGACCTCTCTCTCTCTCTCTCTCTCTCTCTCTCTCTCTCTCTCTCTCTCTCTCTCTCTCTCTCTTGTTTTTTTTCGAGACAGGGCTTCTCTGTGTAGCCCTGGCTGTCCTAGAACTCACTCTGTAGACCAGGCTGGCCTCGAACTCAGAAATCCACCTGCTTCTGCCTCCCAAGTGCTGGGATTAAAGGCGTGCGCCACCACGGCCCAGCCCAGAATAGACATTTCTCAATGGAAATAACGCAAGCCACCAATAAATACTTGAAACTTAATCAACACCCTTAACCATCAAAGAAATGCAAACTAAAAGTGCTTTGACGCCTGCTGAAAAGTCCAGAGGACAACCTGAGATAGAGCTCCAGAACCCACATGGGGGAAAAAGCAATCTCCTAAGTTGTCCTCTGACTTATACACACGCTCTCTCACCCAAAATAAACCTAAAAAACAAACAAACAAACAAACAAACAAACAAAAAAAAAACCAAGCTTTTCGGATAGGCAAGATGGCTCAGTGAGTAAAAGCAATTGCTGCTAACTCTGATGACCTGACTTCAGTCCTCAGGACCCACATTCTGGAGAGAACTTCTCCAAGTTGTCCTCTGACCTCCGACGTGTACCACAGCATCCTTCCCACCTCCCCAAACACACACATAAATGGGTTTGTTTTTAAAATAGTTCTGATCCAGGCATGATGGCACATGCCTTTAATCTCAGCATTCAGGAGGCATAGACAGGTGGATCTCAGTGAGTTCAAGGCCAGCCTCGTATAAAAAGCAAGTCCAGGAGTGCCAGGGATATTACACAGAGAAACCCTGTCTCAAAGGCAAACAAAAGAACAAAAAAAAAATGCTTTGCGATTCCATCACACTCCAGCCAGGATGGCTATCACCAAGAAAACAAGTAACAACAAATGCTGGCAAAGATGTGGGGAAAGAACCACTATCCACTGCTGGTAGGAGTGTAAACTGTTGCTTCTACAGTGGAAGTCAGTGGAGGGGCCTCAAAAACTCAAAGTGGAACTGCCGTATGAGGCAGCTGTACCAGGAGAGGTCAGCCAGCACACCGTGCACACACTTCTACAATCGTGTTTGCTGTTGCACGATTCACAACAGCCAGGAAATGGAACCAGCTTAGATGCTCATCAGTGACAAAAACAGATAAAGAAAACGTGGTATGCATGCACAATGGAATTTTCTCAATCGTAAAGAAAAATAAAAGCATGATACTGGTGCGGAAACAGATTACTATTAAGTGAAATAAACCGCCAGGCGGTGGTGGCGCACGCCTTTAATCCCAGCACTTGGGAGGCAGAGGCAGGCAGATTTCTGAGTTCGAGGCCAGCCTGGTCTACAGAGTGAGTTCCAGGACAGCCAGGGCTGCACAGAGAAACCTTGTCTTGAAAAACAAAACAAAACAAAAAAAAAAGAGTTGCAAAAGAAGGGAAAACAAAAGAGGCTGACATAGTAATAGCATGTATGTAATGAGATGTTTATGTATGAGATGTTTACGTGTTGAGGGAGCTTTGCCTTTATGCACACATGCATTATTTATGCACACATGCATTATTTATGCACACATGCATGCCTTATTTATGGTGTCCACAGGAACCAGGAGAGGGTGTCAGTTCCTCAGGAACTGGAGTTATACACACTTGCTGCCTCCATGTGAGTTCGGGGAATTGAACCCAGGTCCTCTGGAAGTGCTCTTTACTGCTGAGCCACCTCTCCAGCCCAGTATGTATGTCACGAAAGAGCGACTTATTTGAGAGGGAGGCAAGGGACCAGCAAGAGGGGAACATGGGGGAGGGCAGTGGGCAGTAGGCGGTGGGAAGACAGACGAAAATAGCAGTTTTTGAATAAGCAGCACAAGAGAACTAGATAGTTAGGTCTTGGTCTTCTAGCACTTAATAGGTACCTTGGCCTGAGTCCTAGGGCTGACTTCCCATCACAGCCAAGCGCTCTTCTCCCTCTTTTCACTATGGACACCCAATGCCAGCTATCAAAGCATCCCTCATTCCGATGCACCCTTCTCAGGAAGGCATTCGGGCAAGCAGAGACTTCACTTCCTACAGAGCTCCCTGGGCCCTAAACACTCCCTTAGACCCTCCAAGCCATGTCTACTGTATGGCTGTACTACTTGGCGAATTTGAGTCTCTGGAAAGCAGATGTTCTTAACCCTGGCATCTACCGGGGAGAGTCCAGAGATGCTACTCAGCATCCCGTGGAGCCAGGCGGTGGTGGCGCACGCCTTTAATCCCAGATCCCTGCACTCAGGAGGCAGAGACAGGCAGATCTCTGAGTTCAAGGCCAGCCTGGTCTACAGAGTGAGTTCCAGGATAGCCAAGACTACACAGAGAAACCTTCAAAACAAATAAACAAATAAACAAACAAGCAAACAAAAAAGCATCGCTCTGGGGTCAGGAACACTCTTCCAGGGGACCTTCATTTGATTCCTAGCACCCACGAGGTGGTTCACAACCATCTGTAACTCCAGTTCTAGGGGATCCAATGCCCACTTCTGGCTTCCACTAGACACACACAAACACAAACACAAACACATACACACACACACACACACACACGGTTCATAGACAAAAATGAAAAACCACCTATACACATAAAAATAGGGTTGAAGCTGAGCTCTGAACAGTGAACTCGCTCAGAACTGCAAATCCCACTAATGGTGACATAGTGAACATTCAATAAGGTCATGTGTGAGGGAAACATATGAAGCCAGGAGTGAGTGGTGCTGCACACCTTTAGTCCCAGCACTAGGGAGTCAGAGACAGGTGACTCTCTGAGTTCAAGGCCAGCTAGGTCTATATAGTAAATTCCAGGATAACCAGGGCTGCATGCAGAAACCCTGTCTCAAAAGATAAATTCCATATAAGTGAAAAGCCATCAGTTCACCCAAAATCTTGCTCCTCAATGGAGCCAGAGTTCCATTTGCTACTCCTTCTTTTCTCCTCTCAGGTTCTGCCCACACCAAGAACCTTCTGAGGTCTGCAGAGCCCAGACAACCTGTACCAACAAGCACTTACCAGGATGCGATTATTCTTCTGCTTGGGGTTTACCAAGTCGGTGCTGTTGTACAAGGTGAAGCGCATGTTGCCAGGATTCTGTAGCTTCCCATTGGAGAACTGCACTGTTAAGAGTGTAACCCAAGAATGAGACGCGAGGACCAGCAGAGTGTGGAGAAGGAAGAACTGCACTGTGGCTGAAAGCCGGTAGCGAAGGCAAGGGAGCTCATGTTCGACTGTTAGGGGGACTGAAGGAAGTCCTGGTCCAGTTCTAAAGAGGGAGGTGGAGGAGGGGAGGGGAAGTGACCTCTGGGTAGGGGTTGTGACAGAAGAAAATGTCTGAGGGAATGTCATTTACTGGCAAGAGAGGAAATTCTACTTCGTAGGGGGTGGGGGGGAAGGGCGAATGAGAGACCTGTGGAGATGTCAGGTCCTGGGCACTGCCCTGAAAAGTATTGGAAGTAGTGAGAGATGAACGGGGGGCAAGGGTGATGATGGCAGGTGCCCTGTCCCAGCTCCAGGCAGTGGGCAGGGGGGCTACCGTGGTACCCAGACCTTGGAAGGGGATAGGGCTACGTGGAACCCCGCTCCGATCCGGCGGTCTTTACCCAGCACAGCTTTCTGCCTGTCGTCCGGCTCTCCACAATACAGCCACCTTGCACTCTGCAGCTCCTCTGTCTCCGTGTCTTCAATCTGGCCATCCATTCTGGGAGACTCCAAGGTAGCCATGAGCTCGCTGGTTTACACGCGGATTTACAAACCGGAAGTGACATTCTAGGCCCCGCCCAGAGTTCGCCAGAAGTAAGACCACGCCCCTCGCAGAGTAGCTCTGGTCCCAGCCCACTCTTTGGTTCCTCCCGCGATGACCACGCCCCTGGTAGGAGGGTGCAGCACCTCCTCTTTCACGTCCGAGCTCTAGATGAGCAGCTTTGCTTCTGCTAATGGGATAAGTCATAGACTAAAATCTCCAAAACTGAACCAAAATAAAAGAAACCGTTCCTTTTTCTGAGATGTCTTCATTTTGTGTTGTTAATGTCGTTCTAGGCAGGCTATCACTATGTGTGTAATCCTAATTGGCCTGGAACTCACTCTGTTAAACAGAATGGCCTCAAATTCACAGAGATCGGACACCCAGCTTTGTCTCACATATTTTGCTAAGGTATAGAAAAAAAAAACAAAAAACAAAACAGACTAATGTAGTGCCTCTCCCTAAGTAATTTCAATACAGCCACCTGAATAAGAAAACTAACAATGATGTAACCATATAATCTTCCTATAGTATTCAAATTCCCCAACTGTCTCCATACTGTCTTTACAGCTAAAAGATTCTGTCAAAAATCTTGTTGCAGCCTTACACTTCTAATCCCAGCATTTGAGAGGAGGGCTGCTGTGAATTTGAGGCCAGCTTGAGCTCAAGTGGGAACTGTCACACACACACACAAATTATACTTTGCCTCTAGCTGTCAGAACTCTTTGGGTGGAAGGTTACTTTCTTTGACTCTACTCAGTGATTTTTCAATTTATTACTTCCAGAAAGGAAAAAGAAGATGAAAGGGGCTTAATTAACTAACTAGTCATCTGTCTCTTCTGTCAGAGTCTTTCCCATACTCAGCTTATTTGAAGTCAATAATGAATGTTGGAGCCTATTAGAAACATTTTATTTTTAAAATTATGAATTTATCTGGGTCCCAGGAGGGAATGTGTGGTAAAACAAAACTGTTCATTTGGTGGTCAAGTAAGAAAGGAGGAAGAAGGGGCTGAGGCCTCTATTCCTTTTAGGCTCAGGCTGTCTTCAGACTCCACTTGCTCTGTGTCTGAGGGCAACTATGAACTCCCCGTCCTCCTGCCAACTGCTGGGGTTACATACATGCACCATCACATACAACCAGAAAGTTTATTTCTTTTCTTTCACTTCTGCACCTCCAACTCCTGGAAGGTCCTGTTTAAAAAAAAATCTCAAGAAATGTTGAGTGAGAGGACTGGCAAGATATCTCAGTGGATAAAGGCATTTGCTACCAAGTTTGATGGCCTTCCTAGGACCCACTTGGTGGAAGAAGAGAGCTTACTCGGTAGCATACACCTGCACATACACACAATAAATAAATGTAAAATTTAAAAATTTGAACAAATGAAGGAAAAAGTAGGTAATAGATCAGAAAAGATCATCAATCCTTGGAGCCTAGGGCAGGGAGAACATCTCAGAGATACTTACTAACGTTCTTGAAACCAGTTAGCATAGGGTTTGTACATAATTGATACTATGTATGTGTACACTGGTTATGTGAAAATGAACAGTTACATCGAAGTTAAGAGGTGGCAAAGAGCCGGGCGTGGTGGCACAGGCCTTTAATCCCAGCACTTGGGAGGCAGAGGCAGGCGGATTTCTGAGTTCGAGAGTTCAAGGCTAGCCTGGTCTACAGAGTGAGTTCCAGGACAGCCAGGGCTACACAGAGAAACCCTGTCTCAAAAAAACAAAAAAACAAACAAAACAAAACAAAAAAAGAGGTACCAAAGAAGAGTGCACTATAAGGAATCAGATGCAATTCTTGGGGTAAATATGTCTCAACCCCTCTATAGCATAGGGACACTGTGGCCTTGCTAGTCAAAATGCCATGGTCCTTGAAACAGCAGCATCATTACCTGGGGTTGCTGTAACCAGAGGGTGACTAAGAACTCCCACCCTCCTGCTAAGTGCTGAGATCCATACAGGCACCATCACACTCAGACAGAAAGTTTATTTCTTTTCTTTCACTTCTGAATCCATCAGATCTTCTGGCTAGAAATCAGCATGTGATTTGGGTATAGTTGAAAGTCTCAAAGCTCTGTTACATCAGAATGAGTCCCTTTTGGGGCACCTCTTTGCCAGAAGGACATAGTCACCAAACTCCTCTGCATTGGCTGCCTTCTTACTGGTGGGAGAGTGAAGATTCCCAGAATTACCACAGGCAAAAATGCAAAAGATAAAGAGATTCTGCCTGGGAAAAGAAGAGTTACCCATGGACCAGCTGGTCAGAACTGTTGTACCTCCCAATGTTGCTCAAATAGTTAACAGTCACCAAAAGTACATAGACAATGTATACATATGCACACATTAAATAATAACTGAAATGGGACAGAAAGAATGCTGGGAACCTTTTTCAAGTAGCAATCTAAAGTAAAAAATTACAGTGGCCTTCTTTGGGATTAAAACCATGGATTACTAAAAGTATGGAAAATTTACCACAACAATCTTTACTTCTTAAATTTAGGTAGGAAATTTAGAGATATCTGGAATTCTCTTTGGGTGTGTTTTTAAGACAAGGAAAATTTGAATTTTAAGTTGGGGGGTGGGGTGGGAGTGAAAATTTTCACATTTTCCAAGGCAATATTGCCATCTGCTGGTATTTCAGGATATCGCCCATGAAGGGGGAAATGCAAGGGAGAGCGTGGTTTGCAGGGATTAACTAGAACTCCCAAACCAAGTTTTCATCTTATTTCTCCCTTCCTTTCTTGTACCAACACTTCTCTTTTTCTCCTATTCTCCTCTTCTGTGTTGCCTTGCTCTTCTGTCTCTCTCCTCTCTCCTTCCCTTCCTCCTCTCCCTCAGTCGATGTGGGATGCCCAAGGACCTATAGGCAAGTCTTTGTAAACCTAACTTCAGAGTGGACAGATTTTTGTTTGTTTTCTTTGCATGGAGCTAAATCTACTGTAGATTCAACCCATAACTCAAGCTCTGATCTTTGGGGCCATGAAGGGAATAGCCATGTTCCTCTGCCAGAAGTTTGCAAACATCTCCCTCCTCCAGTTCCTCCTCTTCCTCTTCTGCTTTCTTCTGCTTTCCATTCGCCAGCTCCAGCAGCTCCTCCTAGCTCTCTGATGTTTCTCACATACCAACACTTAAAAATAGTTCTTTTTCATCCTAGGTACCTCTGGGAGCCATACACCACTATACCTAGATCTGATGTCCCGCATTTATCAGTACCCATCTCTTGGCTAGCAGCACAAAGCAGAGAATCCTTCCTCTACTTCCCACTCTACAGACCACTATGTGCATTTATTTATTTACTGACAGGGTCTTGGTATATACCCCTGGCTGGCCTGGAATGCACTACATAGATCAGGCTGGCCTCTAATGGGTCATTGGAACACTGGCCTTCTAATATTTGGCTAATTGTGTTCATTTCTACATATTCATACTTCTTGGTAACTTTGGGATAGCAGTAAACAGAACATTTCTGATAGGTTCTTACTGTAAGGCTGCCCTTACACTCACTAAGTAGCCCAGGTTAACTCAGAACTTGTACTCCCCTTGACTCTTCTGCTGATAGTCAGGATATAGGTATGTACCAACACACTCAACCAACAACGACCCAGCTGACTTTCCTAAGTTGATGTTTTTAACTTTGTTAATTTTGTTAACAAAATGCAACATTCTTGTAATATTCTTTAAGGAGAAGAGGATTGGGAGACAGTGCAGTGGGTCCTGTGAAAGGTACTTGCTGTGAAAGATTGGTAGCTGAGTTCAACCCCCAGAGCCTCACAGTGGAGACAGAAACAACTGCAGCCAGCTTTGCTCTGTGTGCAGAGGCACATGCATGCATGCACATGTGCACACACACATGTACAACAATAATAACAGTAATAAACAAAACATGACATTTTAAAAATAAAAACAAAGAATCAGTGCTGTATATTAAACCTTGTTAAAAATGTAAGTATTCTCACTTTCCTGACATTTATTAAATTATTAAAGCAATTACCAAAGTAACACATAATGGATGTGGACTATTATAAAATACAGAAACATATGGATAATAAAATCATAATAGCCCATAATCATACAGCCCTTTTAAGATAGCCATTGTTAACATTCTGTTTCATCTCTTGGGTTTATCTCTGTGCATACGCACTTTTTTTTCTTTCTTTCTTTCTTTTCTTTTTTATCAAGGTCTTATCTGGTTGGTCTGGAACTCACTGTATAGACCAGGCTGATCTCAAACTCAAACTCATAGTGACCCATCAGCCTCTGCCTCCCAGTACTGGGATTAAATGTGTGAGCTACCACACCTGGTTGTATTTTTTTGTAATTATTACTCCACTGTATACTGTTCTGTATGCTCTCTTTAAAAAGCAACATACTGTAGTGGGAGTGGATAGTAGAACATAGGTGACATGAAAGAAAAGGGAAAGCATGTCGGGAGCTAAAGGGTTAATCTGAAATGCCAACTTGAATAAGAGAAAGGGGAAGGCGTCCTCCTCCCCATTTTAACTGGTTAATAAAGGCTAGAGCCTGTGATTGGGCAGTGGAGAGGGGAGGGGAGGGGCTGGGACAGGAGGTCTTAGAGAGTTTGGACAGGTAGAGGGGGGACTGAGAAGGGAAGGAGAGGGGACGGAAGAGGAGGAGGAAGCAAAGGTGGAGCAGAACCACGTGGCCCGGGAGAAACTGCAAGTAGCAAAGGGGTCTCATAGCTGGGGAATAAGTTAGTACAGTGCTAGATCTGCCCAGTCTAGACACGTAGTTTATAAATATAATAAATTAACAACAACAACAACAACAAAGCCGGGCGGTGGTGGCGCACGCCTTTAATCCCAGCACTTGGGAGGCAGAGGCAGGCGGATTTCTGAGTTCGAGAGTTCAAGGCTAGCCTGGTCTACAGAGTGAGTTCCAGGACAGCCAGGGCTACACAGAGAAACCCTGTCTCGAAAAACCAAAAAAAAAAAAAAAAAAAAGGAAATCCTATGAGCTTGTGAACTAAGAATATCATTTTTA